GTTCTTCAAAACCATTTATACCCAAAAATTGTAGATTTCACGATGAAAGTTCATAAAATTGAATTCTTAAATGCACTTAATTATGGTAAACCGATAAATTTTTATAAACAAGCAAAAGTTGCGAAGGCCTATACTTGAAAAAATAAAAACACCATTTCACAGAATGACTTTCATAGAAAATATTTTTGACCAATAAATTGTGAGGTTAAAATTTGTAAAACTAATTTTCAAACTGAATCTTATGATGTTATTCCGACGGTATTAGTTGTAAAAAAAAATAAAGCATTTACTTTAAGACAAAATTTTTAATGCTAAGAATATAAATCATTCTGATGCCGAATTTAATTACAAAATAGTTTAAATGCAAAATACACTCAAGAAATGAACACTTTCCTTACAAAAAGCTAACCACTCATTGTAGAAAATTCCGGATCAAATCTCAGCAAAAAGCACCGGCACTCAAGATGCCGGTACTTTTTATAGTAAAATCCATTTTTATCAGAATATATTACGAAACAAAAAATGTGATATACCGTACTTTTTACAGTAATGATTAGCGTGAAACCACTAAATCACTTTATTTAAATAAAAATTACTGTAAAAAGTGGATTTTCCGGTAAAAGGAATTTTATAAGTGATCCATCCAAAGTGACGGATTGAGTAGATTGAATACAATGCAGCTTTTGTTTTAGATATCTATAATTCACCTAAAAGTTTGTTATAATTTTCAAGAAATAGTACTGATTCATAAATAACTACCAAAAATCTTTTTACGATGCTCTTTTATGATTTTTTCTTTTATGCTACTGGTTTGAATTTCAGTCGAAAAATAAAAGCAGTGTATGGATCATATTGATGAAATATCATTGTGATGATCATTGGATTGAACTGTGTTTAGGGAAACAAACTTTAATAAAAATTAATTTATTCAATTTTCAATCACTGCTAAAATTATATTTGTTTCAATCATAATATCTACAACTATGTTCAGATCTTGCACAGTTTACAATCTATTACCTCAAAATAATTTGTTGGTAAAATTTCATTTTTATATGTGTATCGTATTTTAATAGAATTTTTCTCAAAATTCAACTTCCTTCTTGAGCAAATACTGTGAATAGTTAAAATTTTATTGTAATCTTAGTAAAAGATTTCTTTGAGATAGAAGCAATTTTCCACAAAAATGAAGAAAAAGTATTTAAATTCATAATTAAATGAAATCTTTTTCTTGAAAACATTTAGCACGGAATAAGAACTAATGTATGATATTACCCCCACCCCTCTAAAATAGGGTATTCGCGTACAATAGTACGCTAATGTAGCTACGCATCGATATTTATTGTAACATTTAAAAACATGTTTCAACAATGCGAAAAAGTAAAGAATTTTTCAAACAAACGGTCCGTTTTTTATCCGACTAGCTCTAACAACTTTTTTTTAAATATAGATATAAAATATTAAAAAACTAGTTCACTTATTTAATTATGATTAAAAACTTATTAAACTAGCTAAAAAAATTATTGTTGTTATTATTATTTTTTAAAAAAGCTATTTTTAGGTAAAATTACGAAATTTGTTTGCATGTACACTAAGCACTATAAAAAAATTTTTATCACCTAAAACAAAAAGTCCTTTTTGGAATTTTATTTAGAAGGCTATCAACTATGTTTTGAACTATTATCTTAAAAACAAATGCATATACTTCTGAATTAGGGATCCATGGAGTAAAAATAAGCAAATTTTTTTTAAATTTTCGCATTTGGCTTTGTCGAAAAACATGCATAAAAAATGAAATTCTACTTTTTTCTCTTAGTCTGTAGCTAAAAACATATGTGTGTTAGAATCATAAACACTCGTAAAAAATTTTTGACAATTATTTTAAAAACAATATGAGATATAGCGTTAAAGGTGAAAAATATCGGGTAAAGCGTGAAAAAATCTGATTCTGAAATAAACGCATTTAAAGACTAAATCATTTGTCTAGCTACTGTTATCACCTTTCTCAAAACTGCTATAACTTGGTAAATAATTGGAGTACAAACAAAAGTAAAGTATTTGTAGAAAACAAAGATTACAGGGATTCTAAATGTATAATAAAGTCAATTTCAATTCGAAATCATGTTTTTTCACGAGTCAGATACCTTAATAAAAGAGCATTTTAAAAAGAATTGAAAATTGAATCAATATTATATGAAGAAAAGTATTAAATTTTGAATTGTTCACTACTTTTCTATAATAACTAGTGAAGTTTTTTGACAAAAAAGTTTAAGAAAAGCAAATAATTATGAGAAATACTGGAACTAACTGTGTATCCTGCCATCTTTTTGACACTTTTAATTTCCAAGATATTAATGACCCTTGTAACAAATAAACCTATATGATTCTTTCTTATAAAAGGTCATGAATACATTTACAAAATGGTCGAAAGTGTTAAATAAAAAGTGTTCTTTTCTACACTGCAAAAACTGTGGTGTAATACCGAATTGAATTTAGTGTTGAAAAACTATAAAAATTGTTTTATTTGAAGTTAATACTGAATCGAGCATCCATACACATTTTAATGGGTGCAGTTAATTTTAAACCCTATAAAACTAAAAATCTTACACCAAGATCATATGCATTTACTCCACTCATGAATTATTTTCGACAATTTTAGCGTACTTAGGAAACCATCAACCGTTTTTGTTTATCGAGCAGGGAAGGTGAAAGTTTGATTTCGCCTCGCACGATGCCTGAACATTCCACAGAAGTAAACTGTTATAAAAAAAACTGTGTATGTTTTTAGCTTGTGTTCTGATAAAAAGATTTATTTAAATGTGTTAATCGTATTAAATATTAACTTCATAATATTTAATTTCTATTCACTTCATTTTTTTAAGCCTAATTCGAATTTAGCTTAGAATACTCTCTATCCACTTGATTAACAAACTGATTTTATATCAAGAATTAGAACACGTGTGTATCCTAAATTAATGGTCCTTACTTTATATTGCATCCCAAAAATAACCTTGCATATGTGTTTCATATCTTGCTGTAATTATAAATTTTTCTGTTGCTGAATTACAAAATGGTGGCTGCTGTTTCAGAAAAAGTAGTGTAAATGAACATTCTTGGTGTAGTGAAAAACCTAGATCCGAGAGTTGGATTTCACTACACCACTGTGGCGTAAAGTAATTGTCCCCATTTTTGGCGTTTAGGTACTCGAAATTTTTTTGCAGTGTACCGTAAGAATCGTACTTATTAATTTGCTACTCAATAATTAGATGTGTTATCCTGCAACTGTATATGAAAGTGTTACACAATTCTACCAGAGTGCCATTATGGCAGAAAAATTCTTATTACAGAAAAATTCTTTGAGATTAACAACATAAACTTCCAAACTGCGAATTTTAGCCCCAGCTGTGAATTTAACCTTTTTTTAAGGATTTATACAGTAAGAAGACTTTAAAGAGATTGCAAATTCTAATAATTCATTTATATGTGATTAAAAAGAAGAAATCATATTAATATGACCTAGAATTCATGTTTTATAGTTATCTTTATGTCTTGAGTTTTAAATTTTTAGTCTTTTTCAGCTTTTTAAAATGCAGTTTTAAATTTTTTATTCATAGTTTCAAATTTTTAAGCACAGTTTTAAATTTTTACTCATAGTTATAATATTTTTTATAGTTTTGTTTTTTTTAATCTTACTATACAGAAAGCAGACTGTTGAGTGCTTGCAGTCGTAATAATTCATTTAGTTGTAATCTTAAAAAATAAATGAAGTCAATATAACTTAAGTCAGTACCTTATAGTTAGTTTTTTATCTCATAAAGTTTTAAATTTATAACTCATTTCTACTGTGAGAAGATTTTCAAATTTTTGTTACTCCTACTGAGGAAAAAAAGATTTGATATAAATAGTTACCATCATTTTTGGTGTTAAAGTAAGCTAAATATACTTTCAAGTACAGAACTGTGGGAGTGTTATCATGCAAAAAAAATTGTATAAAGTTGATAAAACAACAATTGTTTAACAGAAAAACAAATATATTATTAAAAAAGTGCTCGTCTTTAAGCGAAATATTTCTACGATGAACCATAAATTGATGCTAATAAGCTATAAATATGTGTTGTCAGTAAACAAACAAACAAAAAATGAATAAATAGAACAGTGAGAAAGTAAGTAAAATATGTGACTGCATGCACTTTAAAAAGTTTAGTTTACATCAACACCAAAAATAGTCACAACTATACACCATATACACCAAATTTGTTTACTATGTAGTATTTAATTTATCATAGAAATATAACAAGAAAACCAGGTTGATATGACCTACGCCAATATCTTTACAGATGTTCTTAAATTTTAGCATATATTTTAATTTTTTATATATATTCAGTAAAAAAAATTGTACATCGTATTCAAAACTATGTAATTACAAAAGAAAAACTAAGGTGATACAACCATACAGTTCCTTACCTCAACCCAGTTCTGAAACTAAATAAAACAAATTTTCGTTAATTTATTGCAGCACATAAAATATGAAACATTATTACAAACTTATTATGCTGGGCGAAAACAGAAGAAGAAGAATTCTCGAGTTCTGATAATTTAATTATGTTAAATTCTCTATATTTCGTTAAATTATATTGCTTCAAGAAAATAATCATATCAAGCAAAAATATTCATATCTTTTAAATGAAATGAAAATTTCTTAATTTCTTAAATAAAATGACAATTACAGTGTTTAATTCTTTTTGAAAGAAAACGCTGAAATTACCATATCTGTGTGAATATCAAATCTGATATTTATTCCCTATATAATTCAATAAACACATTTGATTTCATTTTCACTATATTAACTTATCAAAATTATAACTAAGCTTTGATTCTTAATACTAAATGCTGGAAATGTAATTCAATAGAACTGTATTTTACTGAAAGTGTAATTTCCAGACTACGATTATTACGAATATTATTGAAAATACACAATTAATTATAATTATGATAAAGCTCACCTCGGCAACAATTTCCACAGTCGCATCAATAATCATGATTCCTATAATTAATTTTAAATCATATATCATATCTGCATATGACTAGAAAAAATATAATTCCTCGATCTGCGACTCTTTTTGATACGAGCATATAACCACATTCCCTTTTCTTGGTAAAATCTTCCTCTTCACTTTTTACCTCTTTACATGTTCTCCAGCTTGAGTTATGGACAGGATGACTCGCAATTATGATTGGCGGTTAGATTTGGCTCCACCCAAACATGGGTCCATCATTTATTAATGAAAGGATGAAAGTTGAAGTTGGATTATAATTCAAGGTTCATACATATTTTGGTAATTTATCTGAAAAATCCTTGAATAAAGCAGCATAGTAAGGAAAATCATTTATAATTTACGTTTTATTAAATAATTAGCACTTAAATTCATAGGAACTTTTGTAAGAAAACATCGATTATGCTTAAAATGAAATATGATATTATTTAAGATTCTTTGAAATTACTGGTGACTAGATAAAGGCAAACATTTAGTTGAAAAAAAAATCACTTTATTGATTCAGAAATCTTATTAAGTATCATGCATAGAATTGTATTAGGCAACTATTGAACCTAAGTACCGTTCGGACATTCATATTCAAAAATTAAATTTTTGAAAGCTAATTTCCTTAATTTCCTTATTGATTATGAAACGAATTTATGGAATCTAAACCCTATTTAAGAGAAATGGTCTTAAAATTAAACTTGGTATGTTTCAGACAGTTATTAATTTTAAACTCATTATTAATTTTAAAACAAGCTAGAAAAAATTAAACTTTTATTTGTTCTGCAATTTTAGGAATTTTCTTAGAACATGATTTAAGATGATTTTATTTTCTTGGCATTATACCTATCTAAATGAAAGGTTTAACAGGTTTAACATTATATCTAAATGAAAAGTTGGTTTAACATTATATCTAAATGAAAAGTTGTTATAATAAGTCTTGATATTATATCTAAATGAAAAGTTTAAAAATTAACAGAACTCCAGAATGCAACCAAAATAGTATCAAATTTAGTAAGACTCTTATGTATAACAGCTTTGCATAAATAGTTGATATCTGAAACTCCAGTTAAGTGTTTAGAAACGGTTGATATCTAAACACTTAAAACCACATAGGTATCGAAACAGGATTTTTTTAAGTAAAATTATTACATTAAAAAATGCAAAAAGAGCACTTTGTTGCGTTGAGTCTCCGCAAGAAATAAAGCCATCACTATTTTCAGACTATGATACTTAATACTTTTGGTGTTAAAGCACAAGTAGTTTTGTTTTAGTTTTAATGTTTTTCTTTTAACAAGAAGCCTGCAGTATTATACAACTAGAATATTGCATTGTAACAAATTGAAAACAGAAACAATAAAAATCGCCAAGAGATATGCCACGAGAAAACAATAAAAAATCGCTTGTTCATGTTTCAAACGTCAAAAAAAAATAATAAATAATAAAAAAGATGCTTGTTTTATTGTAAAATGCGTGGAAATTATTGCAAAGTGGTGACATTTCCTAAAAATTAAATACATCTCACAAATAAAACAAAACATTTATGTCAGTTCTATTAATTAAGAGACATTGAGATTTCTAGCTTTAACGTACTTATTCTAATATAAACCAATATGGAATGAACAATTAGTTTGCCAAAGACACTTAACATTATTTATTACTTTAAATATTTAACTACGAGAACCTATCATAGCTTAATTATTAAACATGAAATAAAATGTATAATTTCTTGCAAAATAAGTTTTTGTGTTACTACACTGATGATCTATCGCAGAATAGTCGCCAAGTCTTGGCAACTTCCGGGCAGCGGTCCTGTGGGGGAATTAATTATCGACTATGTCAACCTTCATCTATCAAAAGGTACCTCGTGCTAGATTCAAGTTNTTTTTAAAACATAGCTGTACGCAACAGAGTTACAGGATAAAAATGATCAGCAGACATTTTTTAGAACACTCATTTTTTATTATTATTTTTTGATCTGTTGCCATTCGCAACTCTCATAAAAGTAATATGAATAGTCATGTGACATATGATGTTCCTACAGTCCGAGAGATATTTAAAAAACATCACATAAGGGAAACAACTCCAAAAGTATAACTCGTAGCCATCCCCGATCAAACCTCGACATGTTTCTTTCGTTTTTTTTTCGTTTTTTTTTTCGAAAATTTACAAGTATAAAATTTATTTGGACGAAATCATACATTACGATACGAAAATATTTCCATGGTTTTTCTCATAGCATCGAAACAATCATCTGTCTTTAGTTACTACATTTTTGTGCTATAGCACAATTCGTTCTTTACGCAAGTTCTTTTATTATTATTATTATTATTTAAACATTATGATCATCATGGTTTTTTATTTACCCAGCAGCGCAGAAGGTACTTAATGAGGAAATCTAGCATAAGCTGGCTATTTGAGGTGAAATAACAAACAGCAAGCACATTTATATGCAAGATATCAGAGAATTTTAGACAATTAAAAAAAGACAGTTAAAAAAACTACCATTCTAATTTTATTTCAATCTGAACTTCTTTTGTTTAGGCTTAAAATTAAAACTTAGTAGTAAAAAATGCGAAACTTCATACGAAAGTACTGCCAAAAACGAACTTCTGAATATTTTTGCACCATTTTATATCTTGTCTGAGTAATGCTCCATCTTAAAACTCTTCATATGGTGAATCTTATTACGGCATTCAGAAAAGCAGTGTATATACTGAAGTAGCTCTTTATCGCAATCTTCTCCGTTTGCAACTTGCTTGGCATGACAATCAATCAAATCCATTTTGAGCATTGCACATCCAGTTGATTGAAGACATTCATAATCAAGCCTCTCGATTTTATACGTTTCCACATCAGTCAAATTTGCGTCTTCCTTTCTGTTTGTTTGTAAATCGTCTTTTGAAGTTTTATCCGCATCGCTATTTGATTCTAAATTTTTATCTGGCATTTTTATTTATAGCTTCTACTTTAATTTCAATTCGATAGTAATTTAAGCTGCTGATAATTTTCCTAAGAAAACCGTTTGCTAATACATGGTACCGTTTAGATACTGACATTCTTTAGATAACCGTGAAAAGGGGGAAAGTTAGCTAAAAAAAAAGAGCTGCGCTTGGAAAAAGCATTGTAGAAAACTGTAAAATGTTTTAATAGTTTTGTTTACTTCTAAAAGAAGGGATTGAACGTTCGTTTTTCTCTTCTCAGAAAAGTTGGCAAAATTCAGATAATTTTAAATTGTTTCAAAATTAATGTGGGTTAAATATAAGCACGTATGGTTAAATTAATTGATAAATTTAATAAAAATTTAAATAGTTGTTTTGCAATGTAACATATAAAAATTATAATGTGGCATCAATTCAAGAAATTAACTAATACATCTCACAAGTTTAATAAAACTGCAATGTCAGTAACAAAAATTTATGGACAAGATAAACCGCTATTTGGTTACCTTAGCTAGTCAGAAATTATTTACAGCATTTACTTCATAAATTTATGTACTTCATTTTAAGTATCCATATTATCAAATTTCCTATTAACTTAATTATTTGCAAGGTCAGGATGGAAAAAAATCGAGAGGTCCAGGACCCACCCAGGTCTGTCATGCCGATGATGAGGATGGCTAAATTTCGAATAAAATCTTTAATTTTTTTGCAGAATAAGAGTTTATGTCTTGATCCTGATGGTAGTTCTCCTAATATCAACAATATCAATATCCTAATATTCTCCTAATAACAAACGTCTGTCTTTGTCTGCTACATTATGTGTGCTTTTATGCGTTGTGTTTTTTTTCTTATTGTGATGCAGCACAAAGATATCCCTTTATTTGGTGGTTTGAAAATAAGCCAATATATATGAAATTAAACCAAGGACAAATCACATAACGGAAGCAAAAAAAGTTACAATGACCCGAAGGTGATATCATTAAAACCAAAAACAGCAAATATCATGATAACCAGAAACTGGGTTTCAGAAAAACTGCACGAAAATTATCGCCAAACCAATAAGCCTCTGATTTTACCCCATAACATGGTATTTGGAAGCTCTTTCGTCGTGGAAAACGAAAAAGCCGCAGTTTAAATGCATTATACTTGAAGCAAAGTCGTAATTTTATACTATATATGCCATCTTGTCTTGAAGAATTATCTGAACTTTAGAAGAGGCAAGAACTTAAGTATTTTAAAAGTTATTAGCTTTTTTTAGAAATCACCGATATTTTTCCATCTAGATTAAAATTTTCAAAATCAGTATCTTATTTTTATCATTTGCAAAGTTTTATGAATCCAGATAATGCAGCTTTGCAGTAAATTTTTAAATATTAAATTACTTCGTTTTACGCCATTTTCAGAATAAGTATAGAGGGTGCTAGTTGAAGTTAAGTTAAACTTCTCTTCCAAGAGTTATTGCGCCAGAGCCTTCGAAAAACTACTTCTATGATTCCGTTATTTATATTAAATCATCATCACATATTTTCATACTCCCAGTTATTACAGAAGGTATTGAATGCTAAAAGTTACTTTAAGTTATCTAATTAGAAAAAAAATAATAAACAGTCAACAAATTTATCTGTAACAGTTTATATGTAACAGCTATATACATTTTAGTTGACAAAAAGAGACTAGAAAGCAAATTTTATAATTTTATTTCCTCTAGAACTGCTTCTGTTTTAGTACAAAATTAAATCTCATACTGCGAAAACGTCAAATTTCGTATGAAATAAACGTAAATATCGACAAATCCAACTCCTATAAATTCTTGCAACTTTTTCCATACCGGACAATATCAAAGATTTAAGAACCCTGACTCTTAGAACGGCAATCACAAAAGCAGTATATAAATTGAAGCAGTTCTTTATCACAATCTGCTCCAGTTGGAACCACTTGCTTGTCCTGTTTTGCATGACATTCCATCAACTTTATTTTAGGCATCGCACATTCGGGAGATTTAACACATTCATAATCAATTTTATCATTCTTATACTTTTCTTCGTTTACCAAATTTTCGTCTCCATCTTGGTCTGTTTTTGAATCTTCTTTTGAAGTTTTCTTCTCTTCCTTGTTTGATCCCAAAATGTTATCAAACATATAAAAAGGCATTTTTATTTATAGCTTCTATTTTAATTGGAATTTGAGAATGAATTCAGCTGCTGACAAAATTGTTTTGAAAACCGTTTGCTATTTCAAGATATCGTTAATGTGTTAACATTCTTAAGGTAACCATATTAATATGAACCTCTAGGAAAAAACAACAAGAATTCAATTTCTTTAATTGGGTACCTGAAAATAACGTCATCATAGGTAAATCTAGAGCCCAAAAATTAGAGGACTGAATAAGACTTATAGAGGAGTCTTAGGTAAATCGTG